AGCTGTGTCAGAGGCAGTTCCTGGCCTGGGGCATGAGGCAGGTGTGGTTTCTAAACAGGGAAGAAGCCTTCCTGTCTCAGTCAGGTCGGTGGGAAGGGGCCCTGCTAGCTGGTACCCTGGGGTGTCGGCCCCGCCCTTCTCAAGATGCTCTCTCACAGCCCTGTTCTGAGTGGGTGCAGGAGGCGTGTCGGGCCATGCTGGGGAGCCGGGCAGGGGGTTCTTCACAGGTTTCGGCAAGCTCACCTGCCTTGCACAAGGCTTCCCCTGGCCGCGGACTTCTGCAGACTCCCTCTCCCTGTATGGAGCACTTTGTGAATTGCATTCTTTTCTTAGGACCAAAAATGAAAGTCTCTATTAGAAAGTATATGCACGCCTACTTTTAGGAGGGGATAATAGTCGTGTTTTATAATGAGTACTCCTGTCAGTGCACAGCATTCCTGCCCCTTGGTGCCTGTTTTGCTGCCCGGCTCGTGTGCAGTGCTTGCTGTCTGAGTGCAGGCATGTGGGGAGGGGCCATGGCCAGTTGGAGGAGTTACAGAGGCTCGTGGGCTGCAGGGCTCCCCTCCTCTTCTCTTCCTTGTTCTCATTGCTTGAACAAAGTACCCGACATCCGAAATTAAGGGAGGAAAGGTTTATTCAGCTCACAGTGGAAGTTTCAGTCCATACTCAGCTGGCTCTGAGGCAGAGTGGCACGTGAGAGGGCAGCAGCTCATGGTGGTGGAAAATGGCAGAGCGGCCAGAGCAAATGGGGGGGGGTACTGTCAGCATGGTCATGGACACGCCTCGCCTCTCCTTGTATTGCCTTCAGGCGTCTGCTCCAGGGCGGGTGCGGCACTCACACCATAATCCCAGCACTGGGTCAGGAATCGCTCACCAACTCTAGATGTCCACCCCATAACTGCACGAGGCTTGGGGGAACAACTAGACACAAACCATAGCATACCTCTTCCCTATGGGAGTCCTCGGCTCCCGTGTTGTGTCCCATGATTGCTGTCTGAGGTGTCCTAGCTGCTAGCAGGGCTTTGCACTGCTTATGGACTGCACTGGGCCTGGGCACAGTGCCTCTGCCGTGGCCTCTGCCGTGGCCTCTGCTGTGATGGGCCTGCCCTTGCAGTTCTGTGTCTCCTGGGTTGGTGCGGCCTGAAGGCTGGTCTTCCTACCCTAGCTGTGGCTAGGATCATACTGGCCTTGGCAGGTCTTTTCAAATTCGGATATTTTTCTTTTCTTTTCTTTCTTTTTTTTTGTATTTTAGGGAAGGGTCTACAGGGTGTTCAGAGTCTCACTACTAGATTGGACTCATAGTGATCCGCCTGTTTACAGCCTCCCAAGAGCTGGGATTATAGGCATGTGCCACCACGCCCAGTCTTAGTTGCTGTCTCAGCACACCCCAGGGGCGGGGCTGGCAGGACAGGCCTGGGGATCAGACCCCCAGCCCCTGTGACTGCTTGTAGGCGCTTTGATCGGCTGAGCTATTTGACCAGCCAAAATATGGATATTTTTCATCCCCCTGTGTTTTAAAGCAGACTTTGAAGGTTGTTCTTTCCTCATTGTTTGGATCTCTGGGAACTGATCTTCCCTCCCTGGCTTTTGAGCAAATTGAGAAATAAAACAGAAGAGTGGCAGATGGAGGCCAAAGAATAACTTTTATTTCTGCTAAATGAGAGGCTTGAAATCCTATCATAGTCGTGGAGCCAAATAAACCGGTTGACTGACTCCCAGGGTTGTGCAGGCTTCTCTGCCCCAGCCTAGCCAGTGCTGTGCCTGGCAGGCCACCCTCCTGTGTGACAGAGCCTTGGGCAGTGCCAACTCCAAGCTGTGCATGGAGGTAGGTGAGTCGAGCCCACCTGCTGTCTGTCTCCCGGCTTAGGAGTCATAGTGGCTGTTAGGTGTGTGTTTTGGGGGATACCACAAGGCACCCACTGAGCTCCCTCCACTTGGGAGAAGGCCCAGGTCTAGGGAGAGCCCCTTCAGCCTGTTTGCACAGCCGTCGGGTCCCTGGGTCAGGGGAGGACACACGGTGCTTCAGGCCAGGCCCCTGGAGGCCCTGCTGCTGTAGGGTGGTTCCAGGACTCCTAGGGAGTGTGGGCTATTGGACTGTGCTCTGGAGGCACTGAAAGGCAGAACAGAACATTAACTGACTCATCTGCAAGATCTTTCTCTACTGGAGGCTGCAAACCACTCTGGTTTGTCTCTCACCCTCAGTTCTATCCAGTTGTACCGCTCGGCCTGGCTTGTCAGAAATCCCTGCGCCGGCTGAGTGGCAGGCTGAAAGCATGCAGCAGTGCAGAGGGCCGCAGGTCTGCATCTGAGCCTCCTTCCGTCACATCCGCCTGGGGAAACGAGCCTTACGGGCTAGCCCTTCCAAGTTCAGGTCCAGGCGCGGTGCCATGCGAAGGAACCAGAAGTCCAGAATCAGATTTGTTATGCTGCTGAAGTCCAGATCAGCAAGGCTCACACTTTTGCCTTGATTGCCACTGCCACCATCTCTGCCAGCTGCCCTGGGCCCCACTGGGACGAGCATGAGCCCTTCAGGGCCCAGGGGCCGAGCACCTTGGGTGCCAGGCCTCTGCCAGCCCTCACTTCTGAGAGTTCAACCTTTGGGAAGACGTGGAGCTTAGCAGAGAACTCAGCAGAGCTTGAAGACAGCCACGTCCAGGCCCCTGGGCAGTGCTCCTGGTGAGAGCCTGCTCCCAGAGGCTGTCCTTCCTGTCTGCAGGGCCTGGCATCCCTCTGAGAGAGGTCGGCAGGCGCAGCTCTGCTTGCTTTCTTTCCCTCGCAGAGATGTCAGTTTGGGACCCAGAGCCTGTCGTTGGAAATCCGCCGGGGAGAGCTCTCAGCGGAGGATGGGTGCCACGCTGCTTATTTTCCATGTCTGGGGAAAGGTAGCCGTACACCTCGCAGGCATTTTCAGTGCTGTGCTGCAGTGGCTGCTTCTCTCACCTTTGTTAGGAATTGCGTGCGCAGAGTGTGTGTGTACGTGGTACGTGTGTGTATGTGTGTGCGTTCGCGTCTGCGTGAGAGAGGAAGCAAGGGCACTGACTGTCAGATGCCCTGCTCCGCTTACTCTCCACACTTGACGTGGGCCTTGGAAGACGCTGTCTTCAGCGCCAGCTCTGCCTCCAGGAGGGCGCCCTTCTGGAAGAGTCCCCTCCTACCTAGATCAGGAGCTGGGGAGCTGGAGCTCTCTCTCCTCAGACCCGGGCCTCCTGAGGGCTGATCCCTCTGTACTGGTGCCACTGTTCTTCCATTAAAGCTGAGGATGTGTTTCTGAAGGGGTGTCTGCGTGGTGGGCACCCCTAGAGTCTCCTGCAGATCGCCCATCTCCAGGTGCTTTGTACTTCTGAACTCTTGGATGCAGAGCCTTGGGTCTGGCTCAGTCCCGCTGCTTCTGATCTGGGTTCTGACTGCGGTGGAAGGTGGGCAGCTGCTCCTGTGTGCCTGTGCAGTCCTGCCCACAGCTGTGTGGAGCCAGCAGACAGCTGGTGCCTGGGGTGTGTAGGTGGCAGGGCCGCCCCATCTGGAAGACCACAGTGGCCGTGTGATGTGACAGCGCTCACCCAGGTGGGCCCGGCCTGCCTGGAAGGCTGCATCTGCTTGTGCCTAGCACCCCCAGCAAGGCCATGGTGCCTGTGGCTTCATGGAGCCCAGGGCCTGGCTTACCCTGGCCAAGGCTCGTGTGGCCTCCTGTCGTGTCACTAGCTGAGAGCCACACTGCAGCAGTGCTGAACTGGCCAGGGGCTTTTTGCTCCCTAGGGCCACAGCACTAGGCCTGGACTTCGCCAGAAACCTGGGTTCAAGCCTGTCATTTTGCAGCTCCCGGTCCTCTTCTTTTTATCTCTCAGTGGGTTGTAGTAGCTGCAATAAAGTACGTCCTCTAAACCTTCTATATGAGTTTTTATTGCAGCCATATGAAATTACCGTAGACTTGGTAGTTAGAAGAACATAGATTTATCGTCTCTGTTCTAGAGGTCAGGAACAGGTCTCTTGGGGCTGAGGTCAGGGTGTCTGCAGGCTGTCTTCATCCTGTGGGGAGCTGTGTGTTCCTGTCTGTCTTTCCAGCTTTGGGGGTGAGTCTGCTCCCAGGCTCAGGGCTCTCAGAGTCCTTGCCACTGCCCTCCTCCTGCTCCTCGAGTTTAAGGACCCTGTGGGGGCAGTGCCCCGGGATAAGCAGGTAAGGCCTTCTCTGCTGAGCCTCCTGAGTCTGAGGACCCTGTTCTGGAATTAGCCCCGAGCTCCTCCCCGCCGCAGGCTGCCCCAGCTGCTCCTGAGTGCAGCTTGGTGGTGCCAGCAGTCCTGTCAGGGCTCTCTCCTGAGTGTTGGTCTCTTGGGTCCCCTCCCATGTAGCACCTCTCAAGCTTCCTAGCAGCTGTGGAGCTGCCCCTGCAGGCAGGGCTGCTAATCTCGTCTTTTAAACGATGAACAGGGAGCGCAGAGAGATTCCTCACCTTGCCAGGGACACGCCACCTGTAGGTGACAGAGCAGAGGCTCTGCCTGCCTGCTTTGAGCCCACGCCCCACATTTCCTGTCCCAGCCTAACTCACTTGGCTGAGAGTAGTCACATGCACACTTGAGCTTTTCTCAGGCAGTGTTGTCAGCCCTGTGGTTGGCACTTGATTTTCACATGGTGAGCCCACTGTCCCTGTGGCCTTCAAGGTGGTTCTTTCAGCAGGCAGTTCTGCTCCTGTTTGTTCAATTTAAATGTAAATGTCGTACATTAACATGTAGACCCGAAGCCCTAAGTGCTCCCCTCAGTGCGTGCTGCTGCTCCAGCTGACATCAGAAGTGTGGGCTTTCCTTCCCGAGTGCCGCGGATTTGGTGGCAGCGTGGCGGTCAGTCTGTCTCGACCCTGTATCCCATTCTCAGAACACAGTCTTGCGGGGCGCCAGGTTGCACGATTGTGAAACTTACTGTCATGAAGTTATTTCAGTCACCTTATTCCTGTGTGGAAAACATGCTTGACTTTGGATGCATGTGATACACATTATTATTTTTTCCTTAGGACAACTACACCTTTGCCCAGCCTGGGATTCAGATGAAAGTGAAGATGTTGGAGGAGCTGGTGAGCCGCATTGATGGTAAGCCGCTCTGGGGCTGGGGAGAGGGCTGGTGAGGGCTCAGGGAGGCACCCGGCCTCGGCCTCAGAACGCTGTTCTCCTGTGCCCATGGCCCCAGGCTGCGCACCCGTGTGAGGCGGCCACGGAGCGCTGTTCTCCTGTGCCCATGGCCCCAGGCTG